AATGAACAGCTTTAGAAATTTCTCTAAGCATCTGTCTCTGATCAGACTATTAGACATAATAGTGGCTGCCCCAGCAGAGCACAGCAGCTGGGAGAATACCTTGCTACCAGCAGCTGCTAAAGCCTTCAGGGGTTAGTGGCTGAGGAGCTGTCTGTCTGTGGTTTGCATCGTGGTAGAGCTGGGCTTTGTAGTTAGGAAGCAAGGAACTGTAGAACAAAACCACAGAGTTTGAACTGGAACCCAGACATAAAGAACAGAATGCCTGCTTTTATGAAGCATAGAATGTGATAGCACATTTGGGTAGTATAAGTAGGCATAAAAAGAATGAAAGGATTAGAACAGACCAGAATGTCATTTCTCTCCAATCCCACCCCTATTCCCCTCCAGGCATGTCATATCTCTTAAGCAGACCAAACCCCAGTGTTAGGAAGATTTTTTCCTGATTCCAAATATGAAAGAGCCTAAATATGAAATAAAACCCACCCACTGAATCTCTCCAGCAGGAAACAAATACAAACTCCTGCTTCACCAGTTATTAGAAGTGCATTCCTTGATAATCTAGAAGCAGAGAGGTAACTCAAAATCCTATATGGGGCAAATAAAACAAAAAACCTTTCTTGACCCCAGTGAGACACAAGTCAGAACACATAAGATGTCCTTTCTGATTTTATATAACTTTTCTTGGAACAGCCGTTGGGGTAGGCAGACTGTCTAGAACTTGACATATTGGTAGTTAGGTTCTAATAGTGTCATGGACTGTCCCAGGTTAGTGTGGGAGGATGAGTCTTCATTGGAGGAGATGGGCCTGCCCACAAGCCCTGCCTGGGCAGATGCTGCCTGTGATTCCTCAGTGCCTCCCCAAAGGGAATCTTTGCCAGCACTGGCACTGCCCCCGTTGCTGTTGCCAGCATGGACCCACCCACTGCCAGACCTGCCATGATCTCCCCCAGGAGCGGCTGTGGAGAAGATTAAAAGCTAAGGCCAAGGCCTGCACCAGGTACAGGTGTGCATGCCTGGCAACCCAAAGCCTCCCCTCTGCTAAGAAGAAGTAGTTTTGGGCAGCCCCTGTAGGAGAGGGAGAGAGGGGGGGGTTGAATATTTAGTTATACGCACATTGTTAACTAGTAAAAAATGGCGGCTGGAAAACAAGAGACCGGTCAGACCTGCCTGATGGCTTGGGTGCACAACAGAACGATCAGACAACAAGAAATCCATTTTGGAACCAGCTCAGACCAACAGGACTGGACTTTCACAAGTACCAAAGAAACACACTGTAAAGGGGGGATCAGACTCAGATGACTGAGGCACGATAGACAGATATTGCTGTCTGATCATGCATTTTAAATCTGTGAGGGAACAGCAACGACAACGGATCAAACTGCACATCTAATCACAGCCTAAGTCTTGCAGGGCCATCCTAATAAAACAGAATGCTAGTGGCACCCTGCAGGCTGACAAAAGTTAGTCCTGTATAAGCTTTTGTGGATCTGCAGTCTGACTCATGAAAGAATATACTGGAATAAATTCTGTTAGTCTTTAAGGTGCTGATAGACTCCCCCCCCCCACAATGGACTAATGGTTACGCCTCTTGAGTTCCATGCTAAGCAGAGTTACACTATTTTAATTAGTAGGCTTAGAAGGGTGTAACTTAGTTCAGGATTACACTGTTAGATGGTGTGAATATTCTCCTTAAAGAAAAATAAACTTGGTTGGTACCTTTTTCTTTCCTATAGTTGCTGTTTCAGCATCATTCTGCCCCCTTCCCTCCTTTGGCAGCTATTTCTATTTCTTCTACCTTTATGAACTGTAGAATGCATTGCGCTGATATTATGATCTCACGTGGTTTCACTGGGCATCAGCAAATATCACAATGAATTAGATTTTGTTCTGTTATCTATGGGTAAATAAAAAGGTAAAGGTTCCCTTGCTCGAAAGCCAGTCGAATCCGACTCTAGGGTTGCGGTGCTCATCTCCGTTACAGCCTGCAGTTCAGCGTGCATTTTTCCACTGCAAATTGTGCTTTTTATGCAAATTGGTAGCTTTTTATTGTGCATGCTAATCGCCAGGATATTTTCAGGTTTTGTAAAACTGCCTCTATTGAATCATGGTTCCTTTCAGGAGTGCTATCCTATGCATAGATTCTGCTATTTTTGAGCAATGGGTACAGAGTAGTGTTTCCTCTAAGCTGAGTTAGTGTGAGCTAGCTCACAGTTTTTTAGCCTCTAGCTCACACATTTTGTCTTAGCTCAGGATGGCTCCAGAGCAAACTAATTTATGCAGTATCCAAATTGCTTGCTTACAATTTTAATGCCAGTAGCTCACAAAGTAGAATTTTTGCTCACAAGACTCCACAGCTTAGAGGGATCATTGGTACAGAGGTACATATCTTGTGTTCAAGCACTGTAATGCTGAAAGAATTTTTGAGCAAGCCTCACCACACTTTTAATATATGAAGACTGTTTGCCTATCGTCCAGTGTTCTGGCTTACACACAGATGTTGCTAGCTACGAGACATTTAAGATAAACCTTGACTTGTATTTGGAAAATGTCTTTTAACTTTTTATTTGCTCCCATCTGCAAGATTCAAACATTTCAGAGTTTTGTTGTTGTTTTTAGATCCTTCAAGGTTAACAACTCGAGCTATTGAACAGGAAGCAAAGTTATTGGGAGGCTGCAACACAGAGTTTAAGCCTTGGAGTTTGTATAGACAAGCATATAGAAAGAAATTTAATTCCGTATGTAAATCCTGTGATTGAAAACCACAGGGAAGTAAAGTTCCATCTACTTCAAAATTGTATTCAAAGCACTACGCATTGTGGTTTTTAGGCCTTAATCTTGTGATAGTGAACCCACAGCAGCTTGTTACACTGTGAAATTGGCCAGTATCCTTCAGATCATCTCAGTGAGCACATTTTGTGTCACTTTTCCAAGAGAGATGATGTGCAGTGCAAGCCTAAAAAGATCTGCTTGCCATTAGTAGAAAATCTTATACATGTGTCTTCAAATTGACTCACGCCTTACATTTTTGTCTTGTCTTTCCTTAAAGTATAGGAGCTGCACATAGCTTATTTTCTGTGTAGGAAACTGCCTGTAACTCCTGCTTTATAAGTGATGAATGTGCATTCTGTTTGGCCGTGTCTGTCTGCGGGAACTGTTACATCTGCTGAAGATAATGGTGCTGAAGTATTAGTGTGGTGTCAATATCACTGGAGCTATCATGATCCTAGTAGTACAGGCTTCTCCAGAACAGAAGAGCGTAAGATGTTGTGTTTCCACAAGTCCCAGTGATGTTCAGTGAAATTTTTACCTTGCTATTCAAAATATGTCTTGACTATGTTTGAAAACAATACCCAAAGAATTGGGTTAGGTATTGCATGACTTGGTGGCCTAGCAGGCATTTGACTCCACTAATCTTTCATCTGCTGTGATTTTTACATTGAATAGTTGGTTCTCCCAGGGGCACCATAAGAAACAGAGACCAAGCTACAGTAAATAAAGCTACCTAATCCATTTCAGACATGAGCCAAGAGCCCAGTTTCCTCATCTGTCAGAGTTCTCCCTTCCCTGAATTTATGAGGTGTTTCATTCTGCAAACATTCAGTTTTAGTGCAGTCCATAGGTGCAAAGGGCAAGCTGTCTATTCAGTTGCTGTGAGAACCAGAGAAATTTATTACTTGTTCTGGTGGTCAACCCAAGGAACAGTTAAGCCTAAGCACCCTTTTCTCATTATACATAGTTTGAGTTGAGGTTCACCTTACTTGTGTTGAGAAAGCAGTCATAGTATAGTTTGTGGCTCTAGAGAACTGAATTGATTCATAGGTATATTTCCTCTTTAGGCACATCATCTCCTTCAACTTTATTTCCCCTAGTGGACATAGTATTGCTGTCTAGGAAATCTTACAGTATGAATATCTATGGGAACGGTTGGTATAGTGTAGTCTACACTACACCAGTGCAAAATTCTAGACCAGAAATGAGGAGACCTGTGTTCAAATGCCATCCAGTCAGTAATTAAGTTAACTGGATGACTTTGACCCAGCCTTTTATCTCTCAGCCTAACCTGTCTCACAGGATTATTGTGAGGATAAAATGGGGGAGGAGTAGGGTTGCCAAGTGTTAAAAGAGCCGCCAGCGGGGGACTCCTGGCTGGCGGCTGGAGCACGCCATAGAGTTTTCCCTTGGATGACTGTGGTCCTGCCCCCAGCGTGCCCGGCGTGGTCACGTCACTTCCGGGTGACGTGCACGTCGGGGTGGAGTTCCCCCTGGGGCCCTATCCACCGGCGGTGGGGAACGGGCCTCTGGGGCGGGGGGTTTCCCGCCCCCCTGGGGGGACTTGGCAAGCCTAGGGAGGAGAAAACCATATATGCCTTCCCTAAGCCCCCTAGAGGAAGAGTAGGATAAAAAATGTGTAGACAAACAAGATTGAAGAGTATAGCAAAACTCTAGTCCTCTGGGCAATGGCCAGAAACTGTAGCTGCTGCTGGGTTCAAAATGACTGAAGGTTCCATTTTTTTCTTCCCTTTTTTTGCTCCAAAACGTCATACTTTTCCCAGTAGTAAGATGCTTTATAAGAATCAAAAGGTGCAATTCTAGAAATATAATACATGCATATGTCTAAGACCAGTTATAGAGCACTCAAAAGATTTGACACTAGTAAAGCAACTATTATGCTCATTCTTCCAGGGTATCCCCCTCACACTATATTTATGGCATTTTCAAGAATAAGGTTAATTTGTCTTGGATTCTAATGAAGATGTGACCTGACAAAGGATCACTGAAGGCAGCATAGGGATGGAGTATATTGTAAAGGCTCCATCAAGAATAACTAGAAGAAATCCATCATTTAGATGTCTGTTGTTAGCTGACCTCACCTTGGCATAATTTCTTGTTGGAGCCTAAGAACACATTCCTTATTGTAATGCGGGTAGACTGAAAGGGGAGATGGGACTGTAGTACCTGATTTTACTAACAGTCTGTGATGTGCCTTTGCATTTCTACAGAGTGCCTCAGATGGGTTTTGGAAGTCTGTGGCTACCCAAGTTCCAAGAGAGCCTCATGAGATCCGTATCCTGAACCCATATTTCATCCAGGAGGCAGCTTTCAGCTTTATTGGCCTTCCTTTCAACAATGGACTGATGGGCAGAGGGGTAAGGGTGCAGGGGAGCTTAACCCCAGTGCCATCTTTGCTTTCTTTTGTGCTACTGATTGAAAATGAAATCTGGTGATAATCCCTGATCCCTCTTCCCCAAATCCCTTCCTGTCTAATGTAGTTGGTAAATCCTATGGACAGGGACTAAGAGCTTAATAAGAGCCTGCTGGATTGGACCTGTGGTCCATCTAGTCCAGCATGCTGTTTCACACAGCTGTATCACTTCTATATTTTGTGCAACACCTTGTACTAAATGCTAGATAGTTCTGCTATCCAAAGATAGGACATTCAAAGATTTAAAAATAAAACTGCATGGTGGGAGGAGGGGTGTCAGACAAATTGTAATGTACCACAGAATGGTTAAACCAGCTGATAGGACCTGGTCATGCATTATAGTAACACATGTATAGTTCTGTATCATGTTGTTTGAGAGAGACTACTTGTGGCTGTATTTATGTGCCTAAGTTAGTCCCTCAGTAGGGCGGAGGACAAAGTGCAAGCCCCCTGGGAACAGGAAGTATGTTGCAGTAGGAGGGAAATGCAGTATGAGGGAAATGACTGTGCTATGGAGCAGATGATCACAGAACCTATCAGGGGAGAGGCGATCCTGGATTTGGTCCTAAGTAAGGCCCAAGACCTGGTGAGAGATGTAGAAGTGATTGCACCGCTTGGGAACAGTGACCATAATGTTATTGAATTCAACATTTGTATAAATAGGGAGTTGCCCCAAAAGACCACCACAGCCACTTTTAACTTTAAAAGGGATAACTTCTCTGAAGTGAGGGAACATGTGAAGAGGAAACTGAAAGGAAAAGTAAACAGGGTCAAAACCACTGGGGAAGCGTGGAATATTTAAAACTACAATCCTAGAAACTCAGATAAAATCAGGGGTCTTTTCGTAGAAAAAGAGGTGCAGGAGCTCATTAGCATAACTTATTAGCATATGCCACACACCCTGACATCACCAGAAGTGTGTCAGAAGGCAACACCCACCGCTCAGGCTCCACCCCAAAAATCTCCAGGTATTTCCCAACTCAGAGCTGGCGAGCCTACCTGGAGAAAAACTGCTTCAAAACCACAAAAGCACAAAGAAAATTTGTAGCAGGGGATCAGCTTTTGTGAGCCACTGCTCTCTTCTACAGATATTTCATAGCTGAAGAAGTGACCAGTGACCCAGTTATGAACAGAGGCTACAGTTCCCACATTTGCAGAAGTCTACAGATATGGGCAACATCCTCCTCACTACATGTAATGGTTGATGACTCTGTTTCAATGTATCTGAAAATTAGTGCATGAACACGAAAGCTTATACCCAGAATTAAACTTTGTTGGTCTTAAAGGTGCCACTGGACACAAACTTTGTTCTATTGCTTCAGACCAACATGGCTACCCACCTGAATCTATGCAAACCAGAATTATTCAAGAGGGCTCTTCTACACAGGCAATAGGGTTACACTGTACAAAAGACTTCACAAAGTTACTTGAACAACTTATTAGGGTACACCCAACACCTCCTGTCCACACATGCTTAAGGTAGGATAGCAGCTCAATATTTCATTAGCAGTGGTACTTAAGAATATCTGTTCCAGTGCAACAGAACAAAGTTTGAGTTCAGTGGCACCTTTAAGACCAACAAAGTTTATTCACATGAAAGCTAAGAGCCAGAATTGTACTCTGTTGGTCTTAAAGGTGCCACTGGACTCAAGCTTTGTTTGGCACATTTTGTATTTATTGACTGTTAACCTTTATTTAAGCTGGTTATAGCTTAAAAAAGGAAGGAAGGAAGGAAGGAAGGAAGGAAGGAAGGAAGGAAGGAAGGAA